TCGGATATATTATCTCCATTAAAACATTGCGAGGATTCGGCGTGAAATTCATATTCTAAAAAATATAATTATAATTTACGTATATAAAATTCAATCTCTCGTATATTCAATGTTCCATTCGTTTTATTAAATGACTGGCGCACGAGCTATAAAAGAATATACTTATCATGAAAAGATAATAAATCAAATGTACATGTATACGCAGCATGTATATGAATATTTGAATGACAACAATTGCTTATGAAAATCAAAATTTAATTCTCGACATAGCACGGGCTAGATATTGTTTCATGTTCAACTTGTAATTATCGAAAATTTCTGGAGCGAATTGAGTGCAATTCAAGCAGACGTGACGATTATCGAAAAGTCAACACTCTTGTAAGACAAATCTCTCTTCTAAGACAAATCTACGATAGAGGATCAATTGGTTGGATAGTCAAGTTAATTATGAGTAGGGACCAAAAGTCGTCTTGCCACAAGCATTTGGCACTTTAAACAATCATTTGATGTTATAATTATAAATTTACAATATCACGCAGCTACGCTTTCGCGTTCTTGAGGAACGATATTACTCTGATAGTTACAGAATTTATATTATTACTATTTATATTACTATGTGTATACTGTATTTAATGATACATCTGTCGATAGCCATAATCTTTACTTCTTTCGTTTTAATAAACACCAAAGTGTATTATTTTAATAGCAAAATAATTATAATCTTTTATCAATTATAGTCCCAGATAAAGGCAATGTTAAAGGTAATAAATACAAGTTATAATTTATTTTTGAGGTCATTAAATATTTGTTTTAAAAATATTGATGATAAATTGTAAACGCAAATCTGTTATAGCTACAACATTAAAATACGATAAAACTCCCAGCGTGTTCTATTACTACAAATTGTAAAAATTTGTAAAAATTTGTCAAATTGCAAAACAATTCATAACTCTAAAGAACGATGTGTCTTTATTTTGACATGTTATTTTAGATCATTTCATTTTATATTTCTACGCGCGTCTTTCGCTCATTTTCTTATAATGTTGCATGGATATTACAGACATACATTCTTTGTTGTAAAAGCATCACACAATAGGATGTAGAACCTAACAAATTGATTCCTCGATATGTACATATTCAAGAATGATAAAAATATTACGTTTCATTGGATGTAGAAGGACAAAGTATACGAAGCATTTCTTAATGGTTTATGTATTTGCCAATTTGTTGTCATAAATATTTAATTGGGTATTAAGTACTAGCATTTTCAGAAATGTTTGAAGTGTAGCATCGATATGGCGCCCATTGAAAACTCGAAACAGATCGTATGTAAAATTAGACGATTCAGGCGATTTGATTACATTGGGAATGAATTAATCCAATCAAGCAGAATTAAGAGATACAAAGTTGGTAACCTCTGAAAATCAAGGGCGGATTCCTTGGTATGAAGAAGTGAACGGAGAAGTAAATGGAGTGAACATAAAATTCTTGGCATTGTATCATGCAATCGCTATCTTTATTTTTTTAAATTATTCATCAATTTTAATTTTGCATGTAAAAACATTATAAAAAGAAAGAAATCTAGTAGCAAATTCACCAGTTCGTTTGTCGTTTATAATGAATAATTATGTCGCATTACTGAGTGAATTCGCGACCATTTAGTGACATACAGAAGAATACTGATACTCATTGTATGCACCGTACGCAACGTACATATACCTGAGACGACTCGGAAAGCCATTAGCTAATTAATGAGATCTCCTCCGGCGATGCTCGGCTTAAAGTACGGAAAATGCGTACCTAATGCCCCTCGAAACTGTGCAGCCAACATTTCGAGCACGAGCGAAAAAGAGACACAGAAAATACTTTTTGTTTAACATTGTGCTTCCAAATGAAATAGAGATACAAACTTATAAGCATAAAGAATTGAATATGTATGAATACCACCATTCATCTCAGCTCAAGCTATTTAAAATGCAATAACAAATTTACATCTACAATTAGAAAGGCATAGAGGTCAACCATCTTATTATAGCATTTCTTTGCCTTACATTATAAGATTAGAAAAGTTCTTTGATAATATTTAGATATAAAAAGATTTCCGTATCTAAAAAACTACAAAAAATTCCAAAATAAAATACAACTACAAAATACAATTGTATAGTTTTGAGATATAAATAAATTCATTTTTTTAAATTATTTTATTATACTTGTCTATAACGCATCGTTTCAACATATTTTACCTGAATTTTACTCAATCAAATATGAATAAGTGGTTATGAGATACGTATATATATTTCTTTTTTTCCGATATTATTTTTTCAGCAGAATTAAAAACATACAAAGATATACAAATGTGTGAAAAACGTATGTACGAAAAAATAAAATTTAAAATGTAAAATGCAAAATTCTAGTAATTGCAATCGTTTTTTGAAAATCTACTTTTAAATTTAAAAAAATGTCTTTATTGCCGCGTGTTTAACTATCGCTCTTGTTAAATAAAATAAAAACGGATTTAATACAATTTAATGAAACTTGAAATATTTCATAAAGTTAATAAATCGCTAGTCTCTCATATTTTTATGTGCCGCCATAAGTTTTTTTGTTACAACTCGGACCATGGTACCGCGTTTCCAAGAATCAAGTTTTAATTGCGTCAAGAAGGAGATTTAATTTCAGGTACGCCGTGGAACTTGAAGTGGCTTCGTATTAAGATGTCTTGTTTTAGCGCGTAGCGAAGTAAAGCTAAAACAGCTTAACTCTTAGAAAGAGCCGAATGAACGAGCGAGTGGACGAGGTATTCCCACGAAAGACAAGCCGCGACGCCGCGCCGCGCCGCTGCGACACCACGTGCTTGGCGGTCCTGCGAGCGACAGTCCATTGTTTCGCGGATAAGCCGTTTTTATTAAAGCGGATGATTATTTCGACGTTGAGCATCGTCGGATGGACAGGACGAAAGCCGATCGAAGTCTCAGCCATTGTCGTTACCACCATCTCGGCTGCCTTCGCGTTTTACATCCGATCAAGCAACAAAGTGACGAAATATGTAAAGATATCTTTATTCCTATACTAGTAGTAGTATACCTATTATACATTTCATTTTATTCATTATCAAATATTTTGATAATTTAGCACTGAATTTACATTACAGGAAAATCTCCATATAAAATTTAGTCGAGAACAAGTTTTTGTTATTTATTGAAATTTAATTTTTTTAACTATACTAAAAGATGTATCGGTGATGAATTAGTCAAATAGTATATTTGTGAATTTTCGTTAATAAATTAAGAATACCCTTTATGACAATTTCTCGTATCGAATATATCTGTCTCCATTTTATGAAATATTAAATTATATATTAAGAATAGAAAATCAAAGCAGGAAATTGTGATTAAAAATATGAAGGCATGAATAGTGCAATGATTTACTTTTTTCTCTTCTGTATTCGTACAGCACCTTACCTTATAAAAAATCAAGAAAATTAGTATTTGTTTGTTTTCTTCATGGTCTTTCGAATTAGAATGCAAAAAAAAATCAGCTCTAACTTGCTCCTACTGGTCCGTGGAAGTGCGTCTCTCGCGGCTATCGCCGATATGATTCCGACGGGAAACCTATCCAGTGGCAAGCGAAATGGCCGAGGATGGGAGGAAGAGGGGAAAAGGGAGAGGGACAGTCCCGAAGAAACAAAATGACAAGAGAGAATGAGACGGAAGAAAGAAAAAAATAAGACGCGGACGGAGGGAGGGAAAAGAGAAACACGGAGCGATCCGTGTAGGTTCGTCCATGTAGGGACAGAAGGCAGCCCTGCGGGCAGCCAATCAAATAAAGTAGTCCGAGGTTGCTTTGCCGGATGCAAATTTAGCCCCTGTGGGCTTTCTGTTTCCATCCTCTTCCTCCGTCTCTTCCCGCTCTGCAACTGTGAGCTGAGTCTCTGCACGAGTTTCCGGGACACGCGGAAGTGGCCCTGTAGCCGTTCATCGATACACAACATACTATACCCTTCTGCTTCTCCTTCGCGTCTGTCTCACCCTTTCGCCGGATTATTCATTCACCCTTTCCAATTTCGATCGTCGAAAAATCGCTATCACATAGGAGTCATGGGACACATATAATCAATGCTCACGCGCTTACATGCAGCTTATATGTCAAATCTTGTTATGTGAAAAAAAAAACTTAAGAAAAATATACATGCATAATTAATTATATGATTTAATTGCTTTATGTTCACGTACGATGAGAATATAGATTTTCTAATTACTTTCCATTAAGAAAGAAATGATCGCAACGGTATAACAATAAATTCCATGACAAAGAAGATATAGAGTCGTGATAATTACTAAAGAAAATGCTATACGCACGCGCGACAAGATTATACATCTTTGAAATATTAAGCTCGAATGCGGCACCAATGCAGCGTGGTCGATGTACCCAGTACGTGTACCATACAACGGAATAGCGATACAACAGAACGGAGGAGAGCTCGAGCAACGAATCGGATCGCGATGCGACTCACTCCTAATTATGTCTTAATGAAAATAAATCGCTACATTTGTAGGAGTGTCGTGTCTCTTTGGGCATTTCCACGAATCGCCCGTACCTCCATCCTTCGCCCACGCAGTTCGTCTTCCCCTCCCCCTCCCCTTCTCTCTCTCTCTCTCTCTCTCTCTCTCTCGCTTCTTTTTCCGCTCTATCGTGTTATCTTCGTACTCCACGCCACCTGTTTGATTCCCTCAAAGGGATACCAGTGTCTATTTGTCTATTTCGGTTTGTCCCGTCCTCCCCCGCCAATCCCATCCACACGACTTGGACGGAATCCAACACAGTTCTCCCCATCCGCTGCGCATCCGCCTTACGTTCCAAGTTGAACAATCAATTTCAATTTCGCAAGAATCGCTTTTAAATCTCGAATTTGCCGTACTGTTCGAAGCAATGCGATAGTATAGGGATGAGATGAGTTCCGTAAGTTAAACGTCGAATCGATAATAAATCAAGACGAAACATAGAATAAGATCTCTGCATTTATTTATAATCTAATGATAACAGCAGCAATAGTAGTACAATAGGGATAATAATAACAATATTATTTGATAATATATACAACCAAAAGAAATAGATACGATATATAAATAATGGAAAAATATATTTTACAGAAGCGCTCGTCTACAAATGTGACTCGGGAAACAAAAAAGCAATTGGGAGTTTTACAGTCGTTTTAATATTTTTAAATAATCTTCTTTCTTTGAGCTTCCTTGAATCTGTCTTAAGGTGATTCTTTAGTAAATCGAGTTATTTTAGAAATGACCACTTTTTTTTTATAAAGTGAAGTTAAAGTACCGAAATTGACATGTGCAAAATTTTAGGTAATTTTGATAAATCGAGTTATTTTTTAAATGTCCAATTTTTATTATATAGTGAAGTTATATAGTGAAGTTGAAGTATGAAACTTGACATGTGCAAAATTTTAGGTTTTAAGTTAACGATGAAATAAGAGGAAAAAATGTTGAAAATTTAACTTACAATTAGTGACAGATTAAACTCGGAGACGCTTTTTTGACTAACTTTTAATACAAACGTTGTTTTAGATTTCTCTAAAAAACGAAATTATACTAGTTTTAAAAAATTACGATTTTAATGGTCACAAAAAAGTAATAATAGGTCAACGGCTATTCTGAAAAGATATTTAATATTGAACTGGCAAAATATCGCATAATCTCGCTTGCAATGTACATTGTACCTCACTTTCTTATCCTCGTTTATTGTCGCGTGGAGCAGCAATATCGTTTGTTTCATATTATTTCATTAGATATAAACGTAATTTTAATATTTTATCCAAATTATACAAATATTTGAGATTTTAGATGGACCCTGGTGAGGCACCCGAAATTTTTGGCACTTTTATTAAAGAACCACCTTAATTGAGCACATTTGTACAATTCCGCGCAATTGTTTTTTCTTTTTCTTTGTTATTATGTCATTCGACGGAATATCGCTTGGCTAACAATCATAGTACCATTTATAGTACGCTGACATATGCCAAGATCGATAAATTACATAACAATATGCGATAAATATATACGCACCATTTGTTACTAACGTCGGTCTTCAATGCATGTACTAGTTTGTCTCGTTTTTCCTTCTTTTTTAAATTGTTTCAATATTTCATACATGTCACAGTTTTACATAATAAAAAAAAAAGACATGCCATTTCGCTTGCCAATGATACATAGTATATATCACTAAATGTCACAAGTCTCTGGAACGAACAAATTATATAGTGTAATAGTGTAAACTTACACTAAACGATTATCATTAATCTTTAAGTAACCAACGCATCAAGGTGGAAAATGCGACATCGGCGATTCCGTCTCAGAAGCGGTTTCTTTCGCAATTTATGTTTTCGATCTCTTCTCATTTTCTTTATCATTCGCAACGTTTTATCATTCCAGCAGATGGCAACTTAATTTAATTAGTTAAATCCGCGTGAAACTAATTGATTAATTATAAAATAGTGAGTTAAAAACATTGCGCGAAACATTCGAAAAAGATCCCAAATACGCTATAAAATATATGAATAAAAGAAAATAGGAGTATATAGTATTGATTCTATTGGTTTTAATAACTCGCTATGTTGTTATATGAACATAGCGTTGTCATTCGAATGACTTACTACTGACAATGAGCGTGAGATTAGATACGTATGAATTTATACTAAGAAAATTCTTCAGCCAAACAGTTTTTTACATCATTACACGAGTATTTAATGATTTCAAAATGTTCTATTCCATTATCTCTCTATCAAGTCATCTAATTGAACGAACACAATCGAGCATCAAAAAGTTAAATTATTAAGAAAAAAAAAAAAGAAAGCGCTGCGACCTTAATAACCTTTGTGTATGATTTTACTTATTTTTGTTATGTCGATTGAGCTGACATTATTGACATAATTAATACATTCATCATAGCATAAACCGAAGAAATTGCCTTATCCTCTTTAATGGCCCGATCTTTATTTAACACAAAAATTTACATGCGAGTATACTTGCTACCTATTATCTTATCTCTATTCCGATAGATTGTAATGTATGTATAGAACAAATGAAAAAGGGAATAGAAAAAATATTCAGAGGCATCCTGATTATTGCGCTGAGAAACTGCAATCTTGGCGGTCTCGCCGACAGGTGCTTCCCTAACATTTTCAAGAGACGAAGAGTGCAGAGACAAGTGCGAACAACAGTTCCATGTTTAACTATCTCGCTGTAAGGATTTGTGCAAAAAATTATTCGGCAAACATTTTCAGGGCATCCCAATCAATTTCAATGTAAATCTTGAAAATCTTGAAAATAATTTCTTGTAATCTTCGAGTAATTTTGTAGTCTTTATTACGGTTAGAAGCTCGATAAAAGTAATAATTGCAGATGTTTTCTATTTTAACCATGTTTGTATTACGTTTGCGGGATGCAAACGTAAAAATTTGACAATCGAATCGAGTGAGTGAGATAGAATAAATACGTAGAAGAATTACACAGAACATACATATAAAAAAAAACATGCCTGGAATTATTCATTTCATGCAATAAGAGAAATATCATATTTACAAAAGTAAACAAATTAACAAAAATCTTGAGATTATCCGCAAATATGCGTTTCAGTCGGAAGATAATATTTATTGTAATATATTTTCCATTTGTGTCTAACGTATCTTTCAACAAATAAGTACAAAGTTTTTTTGTATCATGACGTTAAATATAAGACAACCTTACAGAATATATTGCATTAAAAATTATGTATTATATTACAAGGAACAATTAATAAAATTAATTCACGTACAAAGGCGATAAATTAAAAACACTGTACCTTATTGTTTTCAAAATTACATTCATAACAGCTAACTTTGCTATTATATGACCTCTAACTTGCTTAACTTGTAACGAATCTAACATTGAAACGTGTAACTGCATGAAATTCGATCCCTGATAATCCCCCTATATTACTCCCATTGAAAATTTGTTCTCATAACTACGTCGCTGTATAAATCTTTGCCTCTTCGTCCACTGGGTTTGAATCTCGAAGCGTGATACCTTATATATGTATTTTCGAAGAATCGAACACATACTTTGTTCATTCTCTTATAGAGAGACCGTATTACTTTGTAGTTAAGTTCCGTGACAAAATAATTGCGCCGATTTTCTACGAAAGGAAGTCGACGAAAGCAGTTATGTGGAAATGATACATTCTGTGCTCTAACTGTCACGCAGTTGGCATGGTCAAAGTCTAATGCTCTTTCTTGTCTTCGACAGACACTTCCTTACGTACCACGTCGGCCGACTCGATGACCTCGAAACCTTCGGAGGACGAAGTATCGGTGAGCGAATTCGTAGCTCCGGACGCTGAGGGAGCCGCTTCCGTCTCTGCAATGGAAGTCGATGTGGCGAATCTCACTGTCGTCGTGTCCTCCGACACTGCGATTTAACGCAAGACTGTTCTTTATTTTTATTATGTACCGGATGCCATGAAGAAACTTTTTAAAATATATCATTTATATCACTTTAAAGACGGCACAATTTAGATAACAAATATCCGTAATAAAAGTCAAACGGTCGGTGTGGTATAAACGTGATGCAGCGCGCAACTGTAAGTCAAACCGCAGCTGTAAACAAACTGGTTTCCGACGTAACGCTCGCGCGCGCGTTAAAACGATTATCGATTATCCGAGCCACGAACGCGAAACGAGAGGTGAAATTAAAAGCCCAGAAAAATAATCAGTGCTAGTTGGATCGTTCGAATTGAAACACGATAGCGCGGTATCGCGTGCCAAACTATGTAGGCGCTCCAAAGTGACGAGTGTCAGTGACACAGGATCTACAAAGTGCTCATTCAAAACTCTAAACCGGTGAAACGCGCGCATTTCGCGAACCGGCACGCGGAATGCGTAATCACAGAATTATTGACGATTACAATACGTTATACGATATCTCAAAAATTACTCAAACATATTTCTCTCAATATCGGGTTGAATCCCCATCAAGAATCATTTTTCTATCGGCCTGTCGTTCAAACGTATAGCTTTTCTCATCGTTCTCAATGATGTATAAATTCTAATATGCTTCGTAAAGCATAAATTCACTCGGCGAAAGTGCAAGCGTCATAGAGAAAAAAAAGTTTTTTTTCCTATTATTGTATAAAAGATGAAATAGGTATACGCGTATATGTAATTAAATGTACCATTTTAATTTACACAGATTTACAAAAAAAGTACGTTGGATATCGAAATTTGATCAAATATACAATATCCAATGATACGTTTAATTCTTTTAAAACGCTAGGAAATAAAATTTTACTTGATCCATTCACACACACACGCGCGCACGCATGCACGCACGCACAATTTCTCTTCAAATAAAAAAAATTATAAAAAGAAAACAGCTTCTAAAAGTAAATTCAGCTTATGGTTGCATTTCAAAATTACTAATTAAAATTAAAACAAATTTCTTTATTACATCTGTCGACGAGAAAAAAATATAAAGAACGAATTAGTTACGAATAAATTAAAAAATAATTAAAGAGTTTCACTGATAATTGCTATGTCGAATCGATAAAATCAGGCTTTTGCATGCATGTGAAAAATTCACCGAAAATGTATCTTTTAGTCCCATGATTTTTTAATTGACTCAATGGAAAATAACGCAAACAGATAAAAATATTAAATCGACAACGTACCTCGAACAGACTCATCTCGACAGTCAGCCGTCGTTGCTACGGATGTTTGCTCGATATCCGTAATCGTATGTTGTTCCTCCGTATTAATAGGTTCCAAATCAAGCTGAGAAAGCTCAGTAATGTAGTTTTGCTGTGTCTGTGCCGTCGTAGGTGTTGACAGATTCGGACTCGACGAAGGCGAGGGTGCCGCTGCTGTTGTTGATGGTGACGATGACGGCGACGGCGATGGCGATGATCCTGGACCCGGGGTGGTTGGGGCCGTACTGGGCGTCGCTGGTTGCGCCTGAGGCTGAGCACGAAACAGAAGCTGCTGAAGCTGCGCCTGCTGCAGAATCACTGGTAGCTCGTAGTGATGAAAGAAATATAGCATTGAGTGCTGAAACAAAAAAAAACACCGATATGTATAATACGCATGGCGTTTTGTCTCTCTCTCTCTCTCTCTCTCTCTCTCTCTCTCTCTCTGTCATGTGTGTGTCGATCGCCTATGTATAATACGCCACAAAAGTTCGTCATTTCGCGCGTATCTATGTCAGACACTATTGGAGAAACCAAAAACAAGAATTCATCTGGTGAGAGATATACCTCCCGGCACACGTGGCTCTATGTACTCGTTCGTTCCGTGTATGTGAGCCGTGTGTGCCGCTCACGCCTAGCAAATTTATATGGAAATTCACCAAATTCGTTCTATATCAGCGCTCTCTTTCTCCGCAATCGATTCGAACCTTGTCTCTGCCGATCCGTATTGATCGTAATACCTGCATCGTAACGATCGCAATAACGCTGCCGCGTTCTCTTTACGCAAGCCGCAGTATCAAATTCTCTATTCCTAAATTGCCTATTACTTTATTAGATAATTTAAATACGTCTCTTGATTAAACCAAGCGGCGAGCCGTGCGCAGTTAAAATTGAAACGTAACAAACTGTACCAATGAAAATCGACTATTCAACTGTATTTATTTTGATACTCTCTCTTTTCAAGATTGAAAAATCTAACATGGGCAAATAACGTGCAAGTAGGGATGGAAGTTGCGAACGAAGGGCAAAGGTGGCGAGCGGATGAGCGAGAAGAAAAATTCTGGATATGGAAAATAGATATCTCGGGGTCTGGGCACCTGCCGACGACGCGGAGGAAATGGTATTCTCGCGGTGATTCGTCGGCAAGAACGGAACGATTCCGCACCGTTTGAGAAAAAGAAGACTAGTGGAAAAGATTGGTGAAGAGCGGGAGTGGATCTCAAGGTGGATGGGAAAGAATGACGGGGAGTGGAGTGTAGGAACGGTTGCGGGAATGGGAGCGGGATCCCGAGGTATATCGAGTTTTCGTTTGGCGGATAATCAACGCCAATGACACCGATATCGAATCGGCGTATAATCACGCCGCGGGGCTAATCGGCTGAACTCTGACCTACAGCAACAGCCGGCGAGAGCTTTGCCATCCGGGAATCAAAACGATTCTCGGCCGACGTGCCCCCGGGCTTTTCGAATTTTGCTGCTGCGCGGTATTCGTGAACTCGTTCCCAGGAAATAATTGTCGCTCGTTAAACGGTCGATCATGTTAACGAATCGGTAACCCGCTTGTCGAGCAAAGACTATCATCATCGACTATCATCACGTAATAGCTTAAGTCGCGCGGTCTATTTACAAAGCATATATTCGATCACATTCTCAAATGTTCCGAAATTTATTTTATGTTACTATGTGCTTATGAAAAGTTGCTACGCTGCATACATATTCATTAATATTCTACTATAAAAGAATGAAATTATTAAAAATTAAATAAAATTATACTACGTTATAATATCAAATTATTGTCTGTTATGATTAAACAACAGACAATAACAGTTAACGCTTGTTGTAATCTTGTAACTAATCTCGGATGTTAAACTTTAAAAGATATAATATAAAAGATTCGAAATTACGGATTTTTTTTTATATTCTAAAGTAATTATAAATTTATTTCAGAAATAATAGGAATAAAATAGGAAGACGCAATTTTTGAAAAATACACGTCATACTTTATCTAGAATTTAATATAATAACAATTTTATCAAAATTATTATACTTCGACAAAATCTTCGTTTAAAATAGATTGTAATTCTAAAAATGGTCGGACAATAAATGTGTTCAACAATTGAATGGCGAATACGACATAATATAATGTAATCTTTTTCCCTAGCGCGTAATGATGTAGCATCGTGATGCATTTACACCTTTTATCGAGTGAATTAACCACTCCATTAAACTTTAATGGTATTCAGTTTTTATGCATGAAATGTACACAGTACATATCGAATGTAGTTATTAACGTAGCGGCTATCTATCGTAACGCCGTTATAATAATACCTGTTAATACGGCCATCGCGATCATCTAATTATAAGTTATTGCGTTATCAAAGTACGCTCTCCAATCAGATTATCCACCGTATTATTGGCATAGCAGGCAAATTTGTTTCTAAAATTCCAGCGGCTTATAGCAAATGTTCTATTACGATCGATCGTTTGTCGTAACTGGATAGATACTTTACTTAAATGCAGAGGGAAATGTATAATTATAACCGATGACTACATCAAACATGACTACGCGAAGAGCAAAAAGATCTTGCAGTATATAAATTTTATCGCGAACAATGTGATGTACCACGCACTGGTAAAAGAACGGAGAGCAGTAGCAATCTCCATTTTATGCTAAAACATAAAAAAAACACACTAGTATCGTGATAAATAAAAATTGCAAATGAGCAAAGATTTAAAGATTAAGAGCAATAGTATATATTTCCTAATGGAATACAACTAATAGAAAATTACAATATTTATATCTCACTAACGGTTACTTAACGGCCTGGCATTCTTAATTATTTAATGGAAGAAACAGGACACGCCCTTCTCGATGAGAAAACGAGATTCTCGCATTAAAGTATCCTTACGCGCATTTGTATATGGAAACCAAGAAGCCACATTAAATTATTTCTATCGATCGAGCTGTCAGGAGCATTGTCTCGGTTGCGTTTACGTAACTTAAGTTTGAGCGATAGCGGCTTTAGGCTATCCAGCCAAGCGACCACGGCTCGTTCTTCGTCCTGCTACCGTTGCTGTCAATCGCAGGACTCCCAACGGTAGTCGACGAGATCGCATGCAAAATATTACGCTCTCATTTTCCCTCATGTACCTATCTCGACGCGATTCCTAAAGGCGCAAGTGCAAATTCACAAACTTGACTCATGTTCTATTATTGATATAGATTCGACACATAGTCATAATCGCAGTAACCAGAAGATGGTTATATGTGTGTATATATATGTATATTTTATATATACATATTATATGTGTGTATATATATATATATATATATATATGTATATGTACATTTTATATATACACACATATATATATATATATATATATATAAACAATTACTATCGTCATTTTATTATAAATACTGCGACACAATCGTATTAAATTAATGTTACTCATTCCTGAATAATTCAATATAAAGCTTTTTAAATAAACTGCATATTTTTACAATTATTTCAACGTTTCTTTTATACAATTTCAGAGTAAATTTTTTGATCCAGCACAATTTTATGGTTTTAACATTAATTAACGCAATACAGAAACAATGAAAAAGAGATTAATGTTGCAGGCGTACGTTTATTTTATTGAAGCCACCATTGGACAATAAATATAATCTATATCTACGGTATTTTCTCTTTAATGCTTCAATTCAAATGTGATTTATATTGGAAAGCGCAGCAACATAAAAGACTTCTTTTTGTTAATAAATTTTAATTTAACCTTACTTTCCAATGCACGAAACTTAATTGCTTATTTGAATAGATTATTCAAGAGCGTTCATCAGCGATCATTTATCGAGCTAATAATCAAATATTCTTCAATTACAGAACAACATTCTACATTATGTAAAATGCCTATGTCCCGGAGGAATGGACAAAGATCTATGATGGAATTTTTAAACAGCTCAATTGTTGGGAAGATTCTTTTTGCTAAACTTACAAGACCGACCATATCGGCTAAAGTACTCGCAAGTAGGTCACAGAATATTCGTGATCAATGTCCGTTCCAATGCAAAAGAGCAATTTTTCTTGGGAAAACTTTTCTATTCCCGTAGGAGGTTTTTTTTATCGTGAAGACGATTATTTCACGATCTGACGGCGCGCCACTTTAATCCCAAAATACACCGCATAAATACTTGTGCCTTACCAAGTACTCGCGTTCGCACACTTTCATCAAACAATTTATTCTCGACCGCATTTTTTATTCATCATACTTTGCTAAACCATATCGAGATAAAGCTCTTAAACTTAACTAGAGACTTAATAAGATCAACAAATCTTATATCCATCTCTCACTCTCGCGTTTAATGAAATGATAAAATATAAAATACACTCACCTGTATAAAAAGCCAAGACGTGACCAGTGCCAAACTGCTGTACTGTCCATTAAATCGATAATGATACGCGTAGAAAGAGAAGTGATACAAGTAGAAGAATCTGAAACAAAAAACGACACGTACGACTTAAACGTTAGAAGATGTCAGAAATGAGAAAAGCGCACGTGTCTCGAAACTAGTAATGAAATATGAACTTTTGTAATATTGTTGAGACAAATAACATTCGGTGTTATTGTGAATGCACATCACAACGGAACGAATAAATAGCGAATTAAAGCGCCGCAATACATAAAATTATGGAATGCAACGAGATTTATCGGTCGATGTACGCGATAATCTCTAAAATCCGTAACAACATCAAGCCACTTAACAGGTTACATAACGTAACGATATACATGGCACGTTCCCACCCCATGGCAACAATATGGACGAACTATCGATCAGATCGTATCGAGTTTCAGCCTATTGAAATATCGAGGGTGACGCGTTGCGCGGCTAGCGGCTATGCGCCGTTATTACGTCCGAAAAAAATATCATAGGTAACGCAATATACGTTATCGAACTATAGTGACATGCACAATTCTCATAAAAAGTAAGGTAAAAAGATCTAATATTGCAGACAATTCTTCAACCGGCATGCAAGTATAAATATGTCATTTTTTGAGTAATTGGTACAAGTTTTTCTTAAGTACTAATCATCAATTTGTTATGGATGAATTCGTAGACAAAACGAGGTTGATGTGATATTTGAACTTTTTACAGGGTTTCTAATTAAAGTTCTTAAACTTATCTCAATATTTCATATTGTCATAGAATAAAAATCATAAAACTGCTATTAGCTGTTTTATCATGTCGAAGATTAATTCACGTTTTGTTCTGCGATTGATAAATTGTCAAAATATTGATCTTTTAATCTTCCCTTTTGTTGCACTGTTATCTAAGTCGCTTTTCAATCGCAGAAAACGTAATTGTCATTGTGCAGTATTATTCGTCGAACACGTCTGATTATTAATTCTATGATCATCAGTATTTAATTCGAAAGTTAAAAAAAAGATGGAATTTAAATTAAAAATTCCCAGTTTTTGTCATAATTAAAATTATGTAAGAAAAAATGAATTTTTTTTCGCTATATTTTGAATAATTATAAAAAGAAGCACAAGCATTTATTTGTCATTGCAGTTCTCCTCTGATAAACGACGTTTGGGTGATGAAGGGAGGGGTTGTAATCAAGTGATTTTTACGAGGAGCTGTTACGGGGTCGCCAATATTTACGGATCAGGGCGGGGTTGAGGCAACGCCACCACCCTTAACCGAAGAAAGAAAAGCGATCAGCAGGGGTGTGGTGGAGGATGATAGAAAAAGAAGTCCGGGTTTGTAGGTATATCCCTTCGACGAGTACGATGACTAATTTCCTGGAGTATATGACGGACTTTTAGTGTCTCAATCAACCCATATATAGTGTGTGCGTGTGTACCATAAATTATTATTATTATTATCTATCGAATAATATTTTACACACTTGAGAAAATATTCTCGCGACAAAAGTACATTCGAAATGGAGAATCTTTATTTCAAAGTTATAATAAAATCATTTATCTTCAAACCATACGTACTAAATACATTTGTGAATCCAAAATCTTATGATGTGTAAATTTATGTACGACGGGCGTTGGTTCGTAAACGTTTTGCATTACGTTTTACGACACTGCCAGTCGTAAAGCGCAGTTTAGGCGGCTGGTGCATCCCATTTTCGTTCACGACGACACAATCCCGGACAAACATCCAATAAACCCAACCATGTTTTGTTAAGATCAGAAAGGGTCAACAAAATATCGCCGTGATTAAACCGCTTTCTAATTTGTTAACATAGAATGTCGTTAAAAACATTTAAGCGAAATATTCGTTATATTCCGATAGAGAGAGGTTATATTTTTACAATTAGTATAGCGAAATACTTGTCAATTTTTATCATCTGAAAAAACTCGTAATACTAACAACTTAATTTATTAAAAATCTATAATTTTGATACATAAAACCTATCCGAAATACAATCGTAAATAGTCTAATAAATGCGGCGCGCTTGCGTAAGAGAGAAAGACGATTTTAATATCCAAAATGTCCCAAAGAATCGCAGCGAAATAAAAGGTGGAACGAACGAAGGTTGGCAGAAGGATGAGAAAGAATGCGCCATCGAAATCCCACGTTACGTATTCCGGGGACATAAGCTCTAAAGTGTCCCACGCTCAGGGAACCGCAACCATCCGACGACGATTCATACGTCTTTTCCGGAAAAAGGGGTGGGCAAAGAAGGAGCTGGAGACTCTCCAAACGCATTCTGAATTCATTGAATAGTGCTACCCCACCGAAGAATAGCAGGGGGGTTACTTTCGGACTTCAAACGTACTCCGAACAAGTCCCAAGCCGCCCAGTGCAGCTGGCAAACTTTTCATACTACGTAATGCTCAAACTATAGTTCCATTAATGTCGGAAATCGTTATCGAGAATACAATAATAATTATCATTCGATTACAATTCGATTAATCGAGTTAATAGCGCAAAATCGCTTTATCGACTAATTCTGTTTACTATAATGATGTATTAGCACTTGCCGCATTATACATATTTTGCTAAGAGTGTTTAGGCAGCTCTCGCTGCCAAATATTTTAGGAAATGTTTATCACATAAAAGTATATATGCATTTAAGAAAAAAATGAACTACTTGATAATAAATTATATTTTCAAACGTTTCTTTCTTGATAATAAATTATATCTTCAAATCGTATTAAAAAAAATAAAAAATAAAAAAAAAAGTTTTTGCTACTATTTCTTCGCCAACGAAAAAGACATACCTAACGTAGATATGAAAGAAGAAACAGTTATCCCCGAAAATTCACGTCATTGCTCGGAATGGTCATGAATTTATGGGATATAGCTCTTTTACGTCGCAGATCAAAGAATATTCACCAGGGCATACTTTGTCTTAGCCTCGCCTTTACCGCCGGATACAGTTCGTAACAATCAGTTTCGGCATGCATGTGACAGATTTACAATACGAAGAATACGAAAGATAGTATTCAAAAGAAAGCATTGTGAAATAAATCCAAATAAATATATTACGTTCCAAAAAACTGCATTTTTATTTAAAAAAAAATTAAATCAAACTATTATATTACCATTAAAATTATACACAGGATTCAAATAAAATACTCCGTAGTCATAATTATGTAATCTACTGACGAATAAATAATATAACGACCAACACTGAATCATTCTTATTCGGAATTCTAATAAACTCCGTAATCATATCATCAAAGAAAACTCTTGTAAAGATCATATTCTTAAAGCTGTTTTGCATTATGCAAAGTTACCAGATCAAAATATTATCATTGTAAACACACAAAATATTTTAATAAAAAGAATTAGAGTATATCTAGTTAACATATGACGCATCCGATCATGAGAGTAAAACTGTATGCTTGTTCAAGAAATTGTTTGTGTTTTCTTTCAAAGAACAGTATCTTTCGAAAATCGCTTACTTTCACACAAGTGAATGAACGAGAAAGAAAGAAACGAAAGAAAAAAAAAGTAGAAAGATCCCGCGGCGATGTTCCAACGAACAGAAGAGGGTCGCGCTTTAACGGCAGTGGAAACAGGGTGGAAACAGGAAGACGGAGAGGGTGTAGCAGTCTCCATAACTGTACGGTCCACTCGGCTAACGTAAGTATATTGTCAATCAATCCATGGTATAAAAGCAATCTGAGCTTCGGACGACGGGGTGGCGGGTTCCCGCGGGGCGTAGAACCGAGGGACTAAGGTGAAGCGATGGAAGAGAGGTGAGTGCAAACAATCCCCCACGCATTTCGAAGAAAACGAGAGAGAAGGCTGACAAGAGAAAGGGTAGAAGAAGAGAGGCAGGATGGAAGGAAGGATGGAAGGAAGGAAGGAAGGAAGGAAGGAAGGAAGGAAGGAAGGAAGGAAGGAAGGAAGAAAGGAAGGAAGGAAGGAAGGAAGGAAGGAAGGAAGGAAGGAAGGAAGGAAGGAAGGAAGGAAGGAAGGAAGGAAGGGGAAGGGGAAGGAAGGGAAGAAGGAAGAGAGGAAGGAAGAAGTCCTTTCCTCTGGCCACTCGAAAGACCCTATCCAACAAGTAGGATGAAACGAAACTCCAGCCCCAGTATCAGTCTTGTACATATACACAACATGCGTGTGTGCACGTGAATCTACATGTATATGTATATGTATATGTATACAGGATGCCTCAGAAGTTATCCATTTTTTAAACCATAAATAAATACATTAGATATTGTACTGTCATATGAGCAAACATTCACGGTAAATATTAACAAATTACAGAGCCAACAATCTCAAGCGATCTTTTGCAAAAAGAAACTACAATGAAAAAATGAAAAATGTCTGAGAGAAGAGAGTGACTCCTGAGCGATCCTGTATATAATGTATAGGTTTACGTGAGTGCAAACGAGTCTGTATGCATGTATATGTGTGCGGTCAACCCGGTGGATATGGTAGGATATATCCGAAGAAGCTGGTAGAGAATCCTAGCGTTCTCAAAGCGACACGGTGTTCTGTTCACGGGAAAGCCCCGAGTGCTGAGAAAATATATCGGTCTGACCGCCAAGAGACGACGACGACGACAACGTCGCTGTCGTACATACGATCGGATTGATAGATCCTTTGAAGAATCTTCCAAAAAGTAGCGGAATGCAAGATGATGATGTAAAAACACGAAATTTATTTTAAACGGAAATGTTTGTTTTTGGTGTTATTAAATTTTTTGTCATTTAAAAATATGCCGGTATTCTAATTTGAAAGTAACTTGAAAATTTCGAGGAAACGATTCCGTTCCCATTTAATTTAAATCCGTTTTTATTTAAGAAAATCGCAAAGCGATACTGCCAGTCCTATAAACGAATTTACAGTTTATCGATTCTCGAGTGTACACCGGGAAAACACCAATAAATGAACACAGCCTTTATCTTGGTCAAGACAGCGGGGGTGGTCGTGCACCGGTAAATAAGGTTACGCCCCCATTGTGGTCCGATGGGAGACCGCCGCGTCGCGTCGCGTCGCGACGGTCCCGTTGTG